ATTGCCAACATGGCAGGAACAACTCTCCCCTAACACCAGGGGCGACCGTGCCTACAAAGAACGACCCAAGTCTCTTCTCTGAGGTGGCTGAGCAACTTCGACGCGCAGCGAAGCATACAACATACAACACAGACAATATACCAATCCTCTGAGCCCCGACGCACAACAAAGCACAGGAGGAGGCTGCGGGTATGGAAAGAACACACATTACATCGCATCTCCTCTTTTTATGTTTCTTCTTCCTCCTCCTCCTCCTCCTCCTCCTCCTCCTCCTCCTCCTTCTCCTCCTCCTCCTACTCCCCGCCCTCCTCCTTCGCCTTCCTCCTCCAACTCCTCCTCCTCCTCCTCCTCCTCCTCCTCCTCCCCCTCCTCCCCCTCCTCCTCTCCTCCTCCTCCTCCTCCTCCTCCTCCTTGTCCCTTCTCCCCCTCTTTTTCCGCTTCCTCCTCCTGTCCCCTCCTCCTCCTGCTGCCCCCTCCGCCCACCGCCCGCCTTCCGCCGATGCGCAATCGCCACCCACAGCTGGCCTCCGCTTCGCGGCCGCCGCAGCCGCCACCGCCGTGGCCGCGGATCTCCGACGCTCTTTGGTGGCGCGCGCATGGGGTTAGGGGGAGGGGGGAAGGCGTCTTAGAAAGAGGCTGCTCCTTTGACGGCGCCGCGCCTTCTGAGAAACAGGGGTGCCTGGGTGCCTCTAGGAGGCCTTCCCCCCTCCCACTAATTACCCCCTTCTGCTCGTGGGTGACCCTTCCCGAAGGCCGCCGTTCAATCCTGAGCGTATTTTGTGGGCGGCCACTGGGGAAACCAACAAGTACGCATACCGGTACACATTGGACATGTCCCGTTCTGACCAGAATTTCGGAGCGAATCCAGCAGTGGCGACGAGGGCCCAGGAACCCGAATAAAAAGAATCCCCGGGCCACTGTAGTGGTATGAGTACCTGTTCTTCCTCGGGCCCTCAGAAGCCGACAGTGGCGGGCGAGCTCAAGTCGTGCTCCTTTTCACGGCACGGGGGGCCCTCCTCCTCCTCCTCCTCCTTCCCCCTCCCCCTCCTCCTCTTCTTCCTCCTCCTCCTCTTCCTCCTCCTCCTCCTCCTCCTCCTCCAATTATTCCTCCTGCTCCTCCTTCTCCTCCTTTTCTTCATCCTCCTCCTCTCCTCCTCCTCCTCCTCCTCCTCCTCCTTTTTGTTTGCCGGCGCAAACTCATATGAGGACGCAAAGGTGACGAGACGATTAGGCGCCGCCCGGGGCCTGTTTGACAGGAGCCGCCGCTAGCGGTCGCGTGTGGCCATGCTTCCTCGCTGCTCTGTACGCGAGTGTGTCGGCAACGTCTAATTGCACTACCTTATCTGTATCCCTGGGTGAGGTGTTGGCGACGAACCACGGCCAACAAGCGGTCCGATGAAGGTTCGACCAGTGCGCAATGAGACGGAGTCTGGGAGAGAACTGTTTGCGGCACGCCTTGCAAACCGCATCTTCGTCGGCATACAGCCGTCGATCAGTGCGCGTGCCATGCTTGACCCGAGCGTGCGTCAGCATGGCTTGGCGCGTGGCAAAACAATGTGTGCAATGCATGCAAGAATAAGAAGCAATCCCACTACTGCTCATGTTATCACGGGACGCATCGCACACAGACGCAAAGAAACGAATGTCATGAACGATGTCTCTCGACCGATGAACACTGTCAACCATGATGCTCCACCAGGGGTTCGAATCCACGGCAGGGTCGGGCAGACAATGCCGGGCCGCAGCGGACACTCTGTAGCAGGATGACAAGTCAGCCCTCACTTGTCTGACCCAAGGCACCACTTGACGGGACCCGTCCTCTCTGTTACGCCCCTGAGGCAGCAAAGCAAGCAGCGCATGGCTATCGGAGCGGACAAGACGAGCAAGATAGAGAAGCCTCTTCTGCAACAGTATGCTATCCAAAGACACCATGTCAGCATGCTCCCGGGCATGAATGTCCGAACCCGCAGTGCCGTCGAAGTTCACGCGATCACATCTGCGACGCGCAACACGCATGTACACAGCATTAAGCACGCGCGCCTCACGAACCTTCAGCACTCTGACATGTGCATTGTACAGAAGCTTCGATAATACCAAGCTATGGCAGAACTGGGTGCGAAGCGGCACTCGGAGAGCCGGGTTTCCAAAAACCTTTCGTGTTATTGGTGCGTGCGAAGATAGCGAGCTGCTCGCCCTCTGGGTCACATAAGGGACGTTTGACCCCGCCGTCACAGAGCCAAGGTGCTTATACTCGGACACAACGTGCAGAAAAGCGCCGCCTGGCAGGGGGATCCCAAAACCGCTCTGAATACGAAGTTTCATGCAGTGGTCGGAAGCACCCGCCCCACGAAACTTCATAAAAGCTTCGGTCTTGCCTTTGCTCCAGTTAATGAGCAAACGGAGCGACGAGAAAATCTCAACGAGCACCTCTAACAACATGCGGGTGGCTTCCCACAGCAGGCGGGGCGAGCACGCAAACAACACCACGCATAAATCGTCGACGAAGGCGACTTCGACATCATCTTCCTCTTGATGGCTCTCAGCAGCGCCATCGGCCCAGAATGGGCCCTCTCGGCGTTTCAGACGCAAGGTCACGCCGGCGCCTTGCAGTCGTGACCTCAGAGCAAGTATAACAACAGCGTAAGCACTGTTATGGACGAGTCCGCCAAGCTTGCACCCTTGCCTCCCCCCCATCATGATGTACACGAGTGTGTCGCACCGTGGGTATTCGAACCAGGACTTCGTGTGTAGTCCGCAAACGAGCGCCGCCACTTTGGGGTCGAGCCCCATTTGTTGAAAAGCAGTGCCGTGTGATTCAGTGCATTCACAAATCCAACTAGCGACCTCCGGAGAACAACCACACTTGACAAGGTAGTCGGTCTTAGACGTTGTGTCGCTCCCAACGTCACTCGGCCACCCGAAACGAGCTCGCGCAAGACTTTGTCAAAAGCTTTCGTGAGATCCGCGTGCAACACAAACGCACACAGAAATGCAAGCGCAGCAAAATCGAGACAGCTCCGCAAGAAATGGTGGGCAAAATCGGCGCTGCGGCCTGGTACGGCGCCGTTTTGGGACTTCGGTAAAAAGGCGGCGTAAGGCTCATCGATTGCACTTTTTACTGTGCCAATCATCGCCTTGCCCATGTGACCAGAAATCAACAGCCCTCTGCTGTTGTCAGGCTCAGAGCTGTCACCCTTGCCTTTGAACAAATCAACCATGCGGCCGCCTTTCCACTGTACGGGCCATCTTTCCTCGTTCACAACACGGTCACATATGCCAGACAGCTTGAATGCCAGACTGGACCCGTCTGCCTTCAGAAGTTCGGCGCTGATGCGGTCAGGGCCGAGGGCTTTGTTATCACTCAGTGCTCTGATTGACTCGTGCACGGACGTGGGGCTCACAACAAAAGAAGACTCAGCCCGCGCACCGGGGCACGACACTAGCTCGCTCTGGCTGCGCACCAGACTGCCGCCGACAACATCCATGAAGTGAAGCTGCCAACGATTGCACCTTTCCTCTCTTGTCGCGGAGACACTTCCATCATGCAACTTCACGGCCTGAGGGGGGCGCATTTTGTGACCTGCAAGAGCCTTGACGACTCCGCACGTGCTTCGCAAAACACCCCTGTCAGCAAGCCGCTGGGCCTTGAAAGCAAAATTTTCGAAGTGAAGGGCCCTGTCGCGGTCAATGACGCCACGAACCCCTTGCTGGATGACAACAATGCAACGGTAACATACTGCTTCAATGCAACACAGCGACAACCATGTGCTATGAATGTCAGCAACGAACAAGGGCAACCCAACCAAAACCGCACACGTCTTGGCTGCATGGGTGACTGTAATGGTCCTGTCGGCGGCCCGGGGGGTACGACTCAGGGCGCGCCGAAGCCCACAACATGAAACACGCGTGCAAATGCCACTTCTTCCCCCGCTGTCTCGCTACGTGCATGACACGACGACAAGGCCCGGTGTGCTGAAGCAACTCCCACGCGCTGTCAGATATCCACCCTTTGGAGGGCGACTTTGGTGGGGACCCGAAGATCCGACGTGCTTGCGTCAGCAGGAACGCATTGAATTCAGCAACGTGCTCATCGACAGAACAATTTTGGCCAGGCACGAAATTCCACACTGCACGCTCGAACTGGTCGCGGAGATGTGCATTGTCCAAGGCATGGGCATCAAACGACATGCTGCTCTTCCCTCTCACACGACTCTTACCACCAACGGCGTTTTCCGCCGAATCCACACTCAGTGACGCGCTCACAGCCCGGTGGTCCTCCCATGTGCTTTTGGACAGGTCAACATCACACAACACACGGCATGCATGAACACACTTGCGCAAACACTCATCAAGACAAACATAATCAATGCGATGCGCGGAGCCACTGGGATGCCTCCACGTGTAACCAGTGTCAAACCAAGTGCTAGTAGCATACAACATGTGATCACGAAAGAAACACCTAAACAACGTGCCGTTCTCATTCTCCTCCTCCGGTTCACACGGCCAAATGTGTGTACACTGAACAGATCCCACCCGTGCGTTGGCATCAATCAGCACCACGACAGATTGACCTTTCCTACCGGCACCGCCGACGTGGCACGCAAGCGAGTCCCAGAACAAACGCTTTACTTCGTTAGGCGACTCGTTGTGTGGAGCATGGCACGAGAAGACATTAACAACCTCCTTGCGGACTCTCCACCGCCCAATAGTGTGCACGATGCGAGAGCCACGCGGCACGAACGACTCAACGGCGTAGGGGCCACCGCGTCGCACCCACAGTTGCGACCCATAACCCCCCTTCTCATCCGCACTGGAAATGAACATATCATACGAAACACCTTTGTACTGCTGGTCACGCTGAATCCTTCCCTTTTGGATACCAACGACATGCATCCCAGCGTGCAGAAAGGCGCACTCAAGCAGCTGAAGCCGCCCATTGGCGGATAGATCTTGGCCAGACCAGTGCCCGTCAAGCAATGAGCAAACGTTGGCTGAACAACAAACGTATTCAATAGGCTGATCGGTTTGTGCCTTCTGGGGCCCACTGAAGGCCGGGGTCCCGGCAGGAGTCGGGGGGAGGGGGGGAGTCAGAAGCGAGGAAACATCTCTAGGTCCCAGGGCGGCTCCGCCAGCCTCCCCTGTTTGTCAGCACTTAAAATCAAGAGCGCACGGTGTCCTTGCTGCAAGTGCACTCTGTGGCGATTTGCCGCTCACCCGGCGATGCCCGTTCGAAAAGGCACCACACAACTCCATGTCGTCATCCAGGCCGCCTGCTGCGACCTTCGACGGCGACAAGCTTAGGGACGAACTGGACCTCCCCATCTTCCTCGGTGGCGGCGCCGGTTCCGGAACCGCCGCCTGCGCGGCAGCTGCCTTCTGGGCCTCGGCCGCCACGACGACGAGGTTCTGGTACAGCGTGTTCATGGCGCCTTTGGCATCCTGCACGATGTGGCTCGGGACTACCGGCGACGACCGCATGTCAGACAACACGCCCTTCAAAGCCTCGGACATGCTCTGCAGGCAATCCCGGCGACCGCCGCCCGACGACGAGGTCACCTGCGTCACCTGCGCCTGGAGCCGCTTGTATTCGCTTTCCAGCCTGGTCACGTCGAGCTTTGCCGCGTCCGCTTCCTTCTGCGCCTCCGTGAGCGCACTCTGCGCTTTGAGGCGCCGCCCCTGTGCCCGCTCCAGCGCCGCTGCACACGTCGACAACTGTGCAGACGGAGGTTTACTGAGCGTAATGGCACGCTTGGCCATGGCAATCTGCCCCTCCAAGTGCGAGCGCGTGGGGGCGAAGAGGCCGTTGTCGGGCAGTTCCCGCAACATGCCCTCCATGACCTTGATGTCGCATGAGGTTGGCACGGGCGGAGCTCCTGTGTGTGCACTGCCCCCGCCACCCGTCGCAGTAGCCGGGTTGGTGTCGACCGCGCCGATCCCCCCATGCCCTTTCTCCGCGGTCACCCCCATGCTGGTCGGAAGAGCCAGCCAGAAGTCCGAGAGGGTGATGGTGTGCGGCTGCGGCCGCACGTGCTGCTGTTGCTGCAACTGGTTCTGCTGCTGCCCCTGCTGCTGAACAACTTGTTGCTGCTGACTGATCAGATGCTGCTGCGACTGCTGCTGCTGCAACTGCTGCTGCTGCAACTGCTGATGGGACATGTGCTGGTGCTGATTCTGGTGCTGCACTCCCTGCCCTCCGAGTGCGAACGATTTTGCGAAATCCTTCTTTACCCCGCACTTCCAGCACTTGCCCTTCTTGGACTCATTCCACGAGCTGCAGAGCGCGCACTGAACCCATGGCGAGCTCCACCCATCGTACGATGCGCGCTGCCAGACCGACATGACCGTGAACCACCACGAAAAATGTCAATCGAAGTACGGTAGCTGTGTGCGCTGATCACCTTGCTTCCTCCTCCTCCTCCTCCTCCTCCTCCTCCTCCTCCCGCGCCCCCTCCCCCTTCTCCTCCTCCTCCGCCTCCTCCTCCTCCTCCTCCTCCTCCTCGTCCTCGTCCTCGTCCTCCTCCTCCTCCTCCTCCTTCCTCCTCCTCCTCCTCCTCCTCCTCCTCCTCCTCCTCCTCCCCTCCCCCTCCTCCTCCTCCTCCGCCTCCTCCTCCTCCTCTTCTCCTCCTCCTCCTCCTCCTTCTCGTCCTCCTCCCCCTCCTCCTCCTCCTCCTCCTCCTCCTCATCATCATCATCCTCCTCCTCTTCCTCCTCCTCCTCCTCCTCCTCCTCCTCCTCTTCCTCCCCCTCCCCTCCTCCCAGGGAGCCACGTCTCCGCCATGGAGAGCGGGGCCTCGTGCACGTCTAGGCCCAGCATGCCGACTGCCACGCTCACCACGTCCGGGGCCCCCGTGCGCCCGCGGCCGTGCCTCGAGTCCTGGGCTAGGGGCCCACGTGCGGGCCCCTTCCAGATCGACTTCCGAGCCTCGCCTCCCCATCCCTCCCATCCTATCCCTCCCCCCCCCTTCTCCCTCCATCCCCCCCCCCTCTCCATCCCTCCCTCTCTCCATCTGGTCCCCCTCCCTCTCCATCCTGCACCCTGCTCCCGCCCCATCCCTCCCTCCCTCCCTCCCTCCATCCCTGTCTGGCCATACCTTGAGATTGCCGACGGGATGGGTTCCGTCTCGCTGCGGGGTGGGCCCACGAGTCTCACAGCATGGGATACCACCAAGCTCTCGCCTTGTGGCTCTGCAGGTCGTGAGCACGCTACAATCGATTCCAGCTGCGGGCCAAGCCTCGCATTGCATTGCAAGCCCACGCCACTGACAACAACTAGACGAAAGCATCTCGACAGAATCTCCAGAGGACTCTGGCGCAAAGTTTTCAGCAAGGCTGCGAAGGCGGCTCGTCCCTCGGGGTAATTGAACTGATACCCAGCCATCCTGTGGTGCTGGGTCCTCGTTTTGAAGAGACAGCGCCCCGCGTTCCCACCTTTCCTTCTTCCTTCCTTCCTCCTACCCCTCCTCTCTGCTCCCCTGCGTGCTTCTGCTCTCCGCATCAGGTTGCAAAGTTGCCACACCCCTTACACGCTTCGTGGCCCCAAGAGGAGCTCCACCGAAAATCCCAGTGGCGGTGTCCACGTGCGTCCCCGCCACCCATTTCGGAACCCAGCGTCGGTATCCACATGCATCCCCACCACTCATTTCGGCACACCCCTCACACGGTTAGTGGCTTCATAGGGAGCTCCACCGAAGGCCCCAGCTGCGGTGTCCACATGCGCTCCCGCCACACATGTCGGCAAGTCCATCATGCGTTCCGTGGCCCCGTAGGGAGCCCCACGGAAGGCGCCAATGACAATGTCCACATACGTCCGCGCCACCCGTATCCGTGCACCCTTCACACGCTTCGTGGCCCCATGGGGAGCTGCTCCGAAGGCCCCCAGTGTCAGTGTCCACATGCGTCGCGTGCATCCATTTCGACACATCCCTCACACGTGCCGTGGCCCCACAGAGCTCCACTGGAGGCCGCAGTGGCGGTGTCCACACGCGTCCGCGCCATCCATTTCGGGCCCCCATGACGTTGTGGGCAGGCATCCCCGCAACCCATGTCGGCACACCCATCACACGCTTCGTGGCCCCATAGGGAGCTCCACCGAAGGTCCTAATTGTGGTGTCCACATGCGTCCCCGCCACCCATTTCGGAACCCAGTGTCGGTGTCCACATGCATCCCCACCACTCATTTCGGCACACCCCTCACACGGTTAGTGGCTTCATAGGGAGCTCCACCGAAGGCCCAGCGGCGGTGTCCACATGCGTTCCCGCCACACGTGGCGGCACGTCCATCACACGTTCCGTGGCCCCAAAGGGAGCCCCACGGAAACCTCCAATGGCGGTGCACCACATGCCACGTGCCGCTCATGTCGGCACACCCGTCAGACCGTGGATCCATGGAAAGCTCCACCGAAGTCCCCAGCGGCGGTGTCCACATGCGCCCCCGACGTTCATCTTGGCACACTCGTCTCACGTTTCGTGGCCTGAGAGCGGCAGTGTCCACATGCGTCCCCGCCGTCCATTCTGGCGCACCCTTTACACGTTTCGTGGACCCACAAGACATTCACCCAAGGTCGGGTGTTCGCATGCATCCCCGGCACCCATGCCGGCACATCTCTCACACGCTTCGTGCCCTAATAGGGAGCTCCACCGAATGCACCAGCGGCGGTGTTCACATGCGTCCCTGACACTCATTTCGGCGCACCCCTCACACGCTTCTGTGGCCCCATAGGGAACTCTACCGAAGACGATGCTCACAACTGCGTTACTGTCCATTGCACATGATGGGATCCTTCGACAGGCCAGTCGAATTTGAACGAGCACTGTAGTACACACGTCTATGTATGTATGTGTGTACGTATGTATGTATGCATACATGCATGCATGCATGCATGCATGCATGCATGCATGTAGGTATGTATGTGTATGCATGCATGTATGTATATGTGTATATATGTACGTATGTATATTTATGTGTATACATGTATGTATGTATATAGATATGTGTGTGCGCATGTGTGTTCGCAACAGTGGCTCCCGAGCCATGTAGCTCTAGTAGACTCTAGCAATCAATACAATAATACACACATATATGTATATGTATTCTTACATACATACAGACATACATACATACATGCGTACGCGTGGTGCGCGGTGTAATCTACGACATACAATATAATCACGTCTATAAGTGTACGTATGCATGTATGTGTCTATGGATGTATGTATGCATGCATGTATGTATGTACGTATACATGTGTGACTGTATGATGTTATGTGCTGTGCAAGCTATATCGTCAACGATACGTAATGCAACTCTGGTTGTGCAGCCTATGTCGTACAGCCAAAAGTATGCATCATATGTTGTACACAATGTTTCGTGCACTGTGGTTGTGCAGCATATGTGTGGCCAAACGATTTGTATCTGGATAGATATACATATATATATATACATATATGTCACTCGTACCCATGGGTCTGTTCATCTTAGCGGGGTCGGAGCACGGCAGCAGCCAGCTCAGAAGTCGTAGAAGAGGAAGCCGTCGAAGACGACAAAGAAGATGTCGAGCCTCCCTGGCCGCATGGGTTCTCGCATGTCCTCGGCTCCTCCGCCGAATCTGCGACCAGGAAGGCTGGTTTAATCAGCTTGCAGCCGTCGATATACATATATACATGCCTATACACATATGCAAAGTTTTATCTTTATGCAAATATACATACATTCCTCTGCCTATATTTGTATAAGCGCGGGCGGGGGGGAAACCCGTCACCCCCCCAAAAACCGGACTCCCGGGATCTGGGGCTTTGGGACCCTGCGGACGGGCCTCGAAGCGGCCACCGGGCCTCGCAGGGCGCTTTGCCAAGCCTTCCCAGCACACCTAGGGCGATCAGGGGGGTCGTCGGAGACGTCCCAGAGACCCCCAAGACAGCACAAGAGCGCTCCAAGAGTGACCGACGTGACCTCAAGATGGCCCAAGAGGCCTCCAGGACGGCCCCAAAGAGGCCTCCAAGA